TGCCTGCCTGTGTGTCTGCACCTCTATTGTCAGAAGCAGCAGTCAGTAGTCAGAGCACAGATCCCTGGTATTTGAAGGACAGGGTTCCTTGGTCCACCCTGGCTCCTGCACACGGTTCCAGAAACAGATGATTCCCCGCTGTGTGGCTGGGGTGGGAGATGGGGGATGGGTAGCTGCTACTGTGCCAAGAGCTGACATTGACCAAAAGTAGCCATAGTTTATCATCCATGCCTCTCCCAGGAAGTCACAAGCCTCCTGGAGACTCCTAAGTCCAGGGTGGTTGTTGCATCAGGCAGCTTCTGCCCCTGCAACTACTGTCCAGGTGGGGAGACAGGTTTTCACTTACAGGTGCTTCCTACTCTGCCTTCTCCCCAGAATCTCCCTGATGTAAGTCGTAAGTGTATAGCTTGACGCATTTTCCATATGTACACACACATGTGACTCCAGCCAGAACAAGATACAGAATATTTCCAGCACTGAGAAGGCTCCTTTCTGTCCCCTCCTAGTCTGTACCCCCAGAGACAGCCATTAATTTGACTCTGCGTTCAGTGATTTTGAGCTTCATGTCAATGGAACCACACCACATGGGCTGTTTGGTTCTGGCTTTTTTTTTTTTTTTCTCACAGTCCATCTATGATTCACTTGCTTGGTTGAGTTTAGCAGAAGTGGATTCCAGTACAACTTGCTGTGATCACAGTGGCTGTGATTATTCATGTGCAAACTGTAGTTGATATCAGTGCTCCTGCCTCTTGGTTTTGTGTCTAAAAGGGAAATTTCCAGGTCACAGCGTGTGTGTAAAGGTAGTAGGTGCCTCCAAGTAGCTCCTGGACTTGGTTGTGACCTTGTCCAGTCACACATGCTACATCCTCACCAGTGTAGTACTGCCAGTCTTTTTCATGTTAGCTGTTCTAGTGGGTCTGAGATTGTGTATCATTGTGGATTCAGTTTGTTTCCCTGATGATTAATCATATTGAGGACCTTCTTGGGTGCTTGATGGTATTTTGGATATACTCTCATGGTCCAATTTTGCAAAGACTTCACCCATTTTAAAATTTATGCTAGGGGCACCTGGGTGGTACAGTTGGTTAAGCGTCTAACTCTTTGTATCGGCTCAGGTCATGATCTCGCAGCCGTGGGATTGAGTCCCACACTGGACTCCTCACTAAGTGTGGAGCCTGCTTAGGATTCTCTGCCCCCAACCCCTGCCCCTCTCCCACTTGTTCTCTCTCTCTGTCTCTCTCTCTGATTTCTCAAAATAAAATAATTTTTTAAATGTATGCTAATTGACCTTTTCATATTGATTTGTAGGAATTCTTTATAGATTTTGCATGTGAGTTGTTTGTACTAAATTTAAATTCTCTATGTAAGTCCTTCGTAATATATATTGAAAATTCTTTCTACCCATCCAGGGTTTGGCAAACAATACTCTGGGCCAAATCCATCCTGGGGCCTACTTTCTTAGGGACTACAAGTTAAGAGTAGTTGTTATACGTTTTAGAAAACAAACACCTAGGGGCACCTGGGTGGTTCAGTCGGTTAAGTGCCAGACTCAGTTTCGGCTTAGGTCGCAATCCCAGGGTGGTGAGACTGAGCTCCGCGTCGGGCTCTGCACTGACAGTGCGGAAACTGCTTGAGATTCTCTCTCTCCCTCTCCCTCTCTGCTTCTCCCCTGCTTGCATTGGTGCTCTCTCACTTTCTCTTTCTCTCTCTCTCTCTCTGAAAAAAAGACACCTAAACCAAAATAAAGGAGAATATGTGACAGAGGCCATATGTGGCCCAAAGAATCTAAATTACTTTCTGGCCCAGTCTGAGTCCATGGCTTGTATTTTCACTCTTACCAGTGGCTCTTTTGGTAAACAGAATCTCTTTCATTTTAGTGAAGTTCAGTGAACCTTTTTGTTTTTAAATGTTTAAAAATTTTTATGTGCTAGTGTCTTCTGTCTGCCTTCTGGTAAAGAAAATATTACTCCGTGTTTTCTTGTATAAGCTGTATTATCATTTTTTAATGATTATTTTGAGAGAAAGAGAGAACATGTGCCCAAGCAGGGGAGGGACAGTGAGAGGGTGGGACAGAGGATCCAAAGCAGACTCCCTACTGACAGCTGAAAGCCAAGAGCCTGACATAGGGCTTGAACTTGTGCACTGCGAGATAATGACCTGAGCTGAAGTCAGATGCTCAACTGACTGAGCCACCCAGGTGCCCTATAAGCTATTATAGTATTATTTTAAGCCTACCATCCATTTCACGTTAAGTTTTCTCTATGGTATTAAGTACAGTTAATACTTCTTCACCAGTCGATTGCCATTTATTTCAGTGTCATTTATTAAAAGTGCCATTGTTTCCCTGCTGAATTACAGTAATGTCTGTGTCATAAACAGATCACTGTTCTCAAAAGTTCAGGAAAAAAACAAGGTAAACTCAGTGAAGCACTGAAGCAGTAATAATGAAACTGCACTGTGCACACACCAGAGAGACAGTTCTCAAACCAGGATCACTCACACCGTGAGGCGCGATGAGGCTTAGACGTAAATTGTCGTAAAACAGCTGATAAGGGTGGAGGCAGTGACCGCCTATTCTTCACGCTCAGGATTGCAGTATTAGAATTGCTTAAATAAAAGAGAACTCATTCGTTGTTATTTCATCTCAATTTGGGGGCACAATTTGAGATTCACTTATGATTTTCAAAGGCACAAACAAGAAGCAACGCAATCAAGTAGCCTCACTTATCTTGCAAAATCAGCTAGATTAAGCTTTGCTTGTATGACTAAACTGCTTTTGTCTGCTCAGGGAATTTGCAAGTCTGGTCTCCACTTGTATTTGATTTTAGCACTGCGTAATGTGGGTCTTTTTCTGGACTCTGTTCTGTTTCACAGGTTTATTGGTCTATCCGTGCAAATACTGCCCTGCCTTAGTTACCGTGGCTTTGACACCCTATAGTGTGTCTTCCACACTTACAGTGTGTCTGTCGTACCATATAAAATTCTAGCATCTGCTTTTTTAAACACCCTGCTGGGATTTTGATTGTATCTCATGTGTATGGCAAAGGACTCATATCAGACTCTTCTAGAGAACTCCTATCAATGCGAAAAAGCCAGATAATCATCTTTAAAAGGGGAAAAATGTGAAATAATGAAAGACGTATGCACTGCTAGCCCCAGGCTACGTGGCCGTGTGCCTTGCTGAGCGCCGCCCCTGTTGCTGAGCCTCAGAGGTGTGGACAGAGCAGCGTCTGCTAAGAGTGCTTTGTTCTGTGGCAGCAGGTGACCGACCCAGGCCGGCCCAGTCCTCTCACGGCCGGGCGGCGCGTTTAGCCGCTGCTTTGCCTGCCCAGAGCCCAGGTGGGCTCTGGCCTCAGTTCTGCCTGCCGCTTTCTCGTTTATAACTAGTTCTGCTCAGAGCCAATGTTCACGTCTTGTTTGGTTTCTTTTAAGAAACTGCCTGTTTGTTTTTCTCCGTTTGTGTGTATCCATTGCTGCTTGTGCCTACACACAAGCCGTGTGCGCTGACGTGCCAGCTTACTGTGCTGGTTTAACTGGAAGCTCATGCTGTCTCTTAATTCTTGAGATCAAACAGTTTGTTACTGGAGTTTTTCTTTCCTGCAGTGTGACTTATTCCTGAAGGGATCCACTACTGTCTTCTAGTGCTCTGCTCCTGGTTTTTCTCTTTATCATTTGTTTCTTTGACCACAGAGTTTGGGCAAACTTTAACTGAGGCAAGTGTTTCTGGCTGCTTTTTGCCTACATACTACTATTTGTAACGTACGTGTCCTACTCCTAACTTCTTTGGGCCCTATTTGTGAACTTCCTTCAGAATTGCAGCCTCAAGGCCATCCTTGTCTGGTAAAGAATAGAATGCAGACAATATTTCACCAGGGGTGGTTGGTTTAGCCTCTGTTGTTTTCTCTTCTTTCTCTCTTTTAAAAAAAAAAATTTTTTTTTCTTAATGTTTTATTTATTTCTTAGAGAGAGAGACCGCGTGAGCAGGGGAGGGTCAGAGCGAGAAGGAGACACAGAATCTGAAACAGGCTCCAGGCTCTGAGCTGGCAGTCAGCACAGAGCCCGACGCGGGGCTCGAACCCACGAACCGTGAGATCATGACCTGAGATGAAGTTGGAGAAGCGCCTCTCTCTCTCTCTTTTTTTTTAAGGATTGCCAAGTTTATTTGTTTGTTTGTTTTTGGGTAAGAGCACAGTGAGGGAAAGGGGCAGTGGGAGAGGGAGGGAATCTTAATCAGGTTCCACACTCAGTGCAGAGCATGATGCAGGGCTCCATCCCATGACCCTGGGATCTTGACCTGAGCTAAAACCAAGAGTCAGATGCTTAACCTGCTGAGCTACCCAGGTGCCTCTCTCTGCTTCCTTTTATAAATAAAAAATTTTAAGTCCTGGCTGCCTTCTACTTTTCTTCTGACTGAAATGGCAAGGGGGGAGGGGCTTATAAACTCAGCACTCAGCATTGTATCAGTAGAGTCGTAGGACATGGATAGATTCTCTTCACTGGGACCACCGATGCCTCCTGCCCCTCAAGCCGGACTGTGTCCCCCATGGCCAGGTGTGGTTGTTCTGAGCACCTCACTGGCGTCCTCTGGCTGCTCTGTCAGGAGGGAGGGCCCTGTCGTGTCCTCACTTTGGTCACCAGGCAGTTTGGTCCTGCTTCTTCTGCTTTGGGATATTTTGGATGTTCTGATGGGTATGATGCTAGATCCCTCTTCCGGTGGTAACATTCCTAGAGAAAACAGTCTTTCCCTCCCCTCCTTTGGTGTCTTATTTCCTATTGTGCTTCTTTCACCTTTCTCATTGCTTCCTGAGGTTTGGGAGAGAATGATTCTATGAGCCTGAGTTTTCTACCATGAGTCAAAATATCTGTTTTTAACATCCATTTTGGTAAATTATAGGTTAGTTTTTATTTTTATAAGAGCTCTTTTTGGGAATTGCCTGATGAGCAAATTAAATAATCTTAAATTGTGAAAATATTAATGAGATCGTTTATCACATTCACAGTCTCGTCTCAAGGAATTGGAGCAAGAAGCTCATTTTGTTGCAGGAGAACAGTTCCTTATAATGAGTAATAATCAGCTTCAAGAGGTAAAGTTAACTTTTTAAATAAAATATACTCTTTAGGTGTTAAAGGGAGATTTATTTTGAATTTATAAAGACTGCTTTATGTTGATTATCTGGACAGTATGTAAGCTGTCCATGTTTTCTCACATTGAGATTCATTCCTTCAAATTCCTGTAAATCTGAGAAAAGCATGAGGTCAGACTGGGAGCACCTGTGGCGTCCAAGCGGGTGTGTCTTCTGGGCTGTGGCAGCGATGTTCTCTTTCTCCCAAACCCGAGACCCGCTCACCACGTGTCACTGCTTTTGTTGAAGATCCTCTTCGGCAAGCTGAAGCTGCACCTGCTGAGTCCCAAGGACCTTCTTCCCAGAACGGGGCCGCGGGGGCTACGGTCCACATCAGAAGCTGTGGTAAGGTCTGAAAATTGTCCGCTTTCTTTCTGAAATGATAGCGTGCTGCGCTGGGCCTGAGTCACCCTCGGGCCTGCCCGCGTGCCCTTCAGCGACCCCCACGAGGAGCCCCCCACAAGGCTGCCCTCCTAGTAGGGACCGTGGAGAAGGAAGCAGATGGTACAGTTTTCCAGAAGCCATGGGGTGGCTTCATTTTCTGCAAAGGACAGCTTGGTGGAGTTTTGTTCTGAAAACAAGTTCTTGACAATCCAGTGGCAGCCTCTTTTTTCCACTCCCCTGCCGGAAGCTGGAAACGGGAAGGTCATCGTCTTCTTCCCTAGATTTATTTTAGAAAGTTTGAGCTGCCTTCCCCACCCCTCACCCCACCCCCTGAGGAGCCTGTCTCTCAAAGGACAGGGAGGAGCGGGACTCTGAGCACTGAGTGTAAGAGTGTAAGTGGATACTCAGAGTCCGTAAGTAGGTGGACTCGTGTTACTGCGGTGAGGACCAGCCGTGGGGGCTGTTTGTGCTTCCTGTACCCCCCACTCCCCACGCATGTTACCACCCCAGCACAGCATGTTCTGCGCCTTCGGACCATCCTGCCTGTGGCCCTCAGTGGCTCAGGCGGCAGTTCTCAAGGGAATCACAGCAGCCTGCAGTGACCTGAATGACCTGAATCTGGCCTCTTCCGCGGACACCCATCCTCCACCCCACCCCCCACCGGGTCCTTTCGAGCCAGCAGTGGGTGGGGCAAGGCCAGTGCAGGCAGCCACCACCCTGACCTGCACAGCTGGGGCAGGTTACTTGACCACTCTGCCTCAGTTTCCTGATGTGTAAAAGGACCATAGTCCTTTCCCTACAACATTCTTATGGAAATTCAACAAGCGTGTGTGTGTGTGTGTGTGTGTGTGTGTGTGTGTGTGTGTGTGTGTGTGTAAAACACTATTTAGGACCATGCTTGACATATGAGCCCTCAAAAACCAGTAAGTGCTGCCTGCAGTTCTTAGTTCATCCAGAAACCTACGAGTCGTCTTTGACTTTCTTCCTCGCAGCAAGCCTTACAATCTCTACCTGCAAACATAGGTCCTGAGTTTGTCTGTTTCCCTCGTCTTCACTGTCACCGCCTGGTCCTCTCCCACTGACGCTCCTGCTCAGCCCCCAGGCTGCCCCCTGCTCTGCTCTTACCCTGCTGGTTAGCCGTCACGTCCAGGCAGAGGGGTCTTTTACAGCATTAGAAAACTCACGTTACTCCCTTGGTGTATATTCTAAGGGCTTCCCTTGACACTTCAATTAACCTCAAGCCCTCTGTGTGTCCCCAGGCCCACGGGTCTGGTCTTGCCCCTTGTCTGGCCTCCCTTGCCCCGCCCCCCCCCCCCCCCCCCAACACACACCTCATGAGCACCTTGCTCTTCACAGATTTCCGTCCAGGTTCTTTCCTGGTCTGGAGACTCTTCTCCTGGATTTTGCACAGTGGCTTCTGATTGTTGGCTTAGATTGTGCTTTCGAGAGGCCTTCCCTGCCCACACAGACAACAGCAGGGCCCCCCGCACAATGATGTCTTCACCCAGATTTTTTCCTACCCCTAAAGTTATCTTAGTTACTGGTTTGCTCATCACTGTAGGATGAAGGCCGCACATGTCACAGCCCTGCGTTGACTTGTTCATGTCTCCAGAGCCAAAGCGGCCAGAGGCAGCCCCTGGTAGGTGGGACCCACCCTACAGGAGAGGCCCTGGCCTGGACTTCACCCCCGCAGGGCAGATGGGGGCACCGTGCACTCAAGTTAGAGCAGCAGGGTTACCTGGAAAAGCCGCACACTTCCCCTTGTGCAGCGCCAAGCCGAGGGTCGCAGGCGGATCTATTCTCTGTCCTGACGCCAGCTGGCAGTGCTGCCCTTCCCTCTGCGGTGCCTCGGCGCCTCCAGACAACCAGCAACGTGAGAAGGAGAATGGAGGCGGAACTGTCTTCCGGGGTCGGTGGGCTTCCCTGTAGACAGAATTAACACCACGACCTGGATGACTTTTCACAAAGACGTGATCCGTGTAAATCATATTCTTAGCCTTACTCTCTTATTTAACTGAGCAAGTCACACTATTCTGTGCATTTAAAAAAGAATAACTTGCATTAGGGAGCATAGGGAGATGGTTCTGAATTCAAAATTAAGACAAATCTCTACTTTCCTTCACCCTTCCTGCTCCCCTCCTCGTGGGGAGATATGTGGACTTCTGGCAGAAAGTGTAGCCTGGAACAGTTCAAACAAGGGCACAACTGTGATCTTACATATGGTTTTATTAGACTTTGTATTTTATTTCACAATTTTACTGTGAAAAAAAGTACAGAGAAGTCTCTCATACTGCCTTCCTCCCATGCCCACCACCTCCCCCACTGTCCGTGCCCCCACCAGTGGGACCGTTTTTGTTGCACTCAGCGTGCCTCCACTGACACGTCATCATCACCCCGAGTCCATGGATGATCTCAGGGGTCACCCTTGGTGGTGTGGTTTTCAACAAATGTATAATGACAGGTGTCCATAATTATGGTCTCATGCAAAATAGTTTCACTGGCCTAAAACTCCCTGTGCTCCGCCAGTTCCTTCCTCCCTTTCCCCCTTCCATTCCAGTATTTTCACTGTCTTCACAGTTTTGCCTTTTCCAGAATGTCTCCTAGATGATCACACGACATGCAGCCTTCTCAGATTGGCTCCTTGCCCTCAGTCACCTGCGTCCACACTTCCTCCAGGTCTCTTCCTGGCTTGATGGCTCGTTTCTTTTTAGCGCTGAATAATACTCCGTGGTCTGGATGGACCACAGTTTGTTACCCATTCACCTACTGAAGGACATCTTGGTTGCTTCTAGGTTTTGACAACGAGGAATAAAGCTGCTATAAACATCTATGTGCAGGTTTTTGTGTGAATGTAAGTTTTCAGCTCCTTTGGCTTAACGCTAAGCATGATCGCTGGATCATATAGTGAGAGTATGTTGTTTTGTGAGAAACTGCAAAACTATCTTCCAAAGCGGCTGCACCATTTTGCGTTCCCGACACTGTGAACGAGAGTTCCTGTCGCTCCAGATCCTCACCAGCGTGTGGTGTGGCCAGCGCTTTGGAGTCTGCCCATTCTAACAGGTGTTAGCTGTGTTCCAGAAAGTCTGCTTTCAGAGCTGTTGGAGAAAGGGAGTCTCATTAATAGGCTGTCACTGTAGTGTGGGGACTGAAGTCTCAGTGGTCTAAGTGCCATCTGTGAAGATGGAGCAAAGCAGACGAACTTTCAGAGCATTCTTAGAGCAGAAAGGAACTCTGTGATGTGCATTCAAGTGAGAGTCCACAGAAGACTGCGGGGGTAGCTCCTGGTTTTCTTAGTTATGTCCCCGAGCAGATAGAGATGGCCACGACTCAGAGAAAACTGGAAGAGGGACAGTTCACTGGGGATCCAGCATTCACCCTCCAGTGTGTTTACAAGATACTGACACAGAGCTGTCACATGAACAGTTGGGTTAGTGACACCTCGTGCTGGAGATGCACACTTGGAAGTGCTCAGCTGATTTTTATTGAAGTTGCCCTGGAATGGTGGTCCCCTACGCTGGCTGGAGCTTTGGAAAAACCCTCGTGCCCAGGCTGATGACTGACCCACAGAATCGTGTCTGTGGGCTGGACGGCCCAGGCCCAGGCTTGTCTTTGAAGCCCCCAGCTGATTCTCGTGAGGCAGCCAACATTAATAACCACAGAACCGAACACTGAGAACTGACATTTAGAGGTCAGGGAAAGAGGAAGTGCTAACAAGAAGCTACGGAGTGGCCATGGAGAGAAGGGAGCTGAGAAGAATGTGCTGTCAGGAGCCAATGCAGGGAGTGTGTGATAAAGGTCACGCGGGGTGGCGGGTGGCTGCACCACTGCCTCTGATCTCCAACCAATGCTGGTAGAGCTTTGTCCAGAGTTTTAGGAGATCAAATACTTAATTCTTTTCAAGTGTTCTCAGACAGCTCAAGTAGAGATATACACAGAGACTGGTTAGAAAGTTATTTTGTGGGTAAAGTATCAGGATAAGGAGAGTTGGTTGATCTTAAGCAATTTTCTTGGCTAAGTGTTTTCATAATACTTTCCTCCCCCGAGGGATAGTTTTTCTAAGAAAACAATAATTCTGGGTTATACTGAGGTAGGGTGCCTCCCCCTGGGCAGTGCCTACTCCCACAACCCCAGTGCTGGCTCTCCGGTTTCTGATTCTGCGGTTTATCAAGACTCTTAATGTCCTTAGTCCATATTCAAACAGACAGTGATACAACTCTGTGCCTTAATTACGTGCCTTATTAGGTTAGAGTTAATGTCGTCAGTTCCCCACCCCAACCTGATTTATAGATTCAAAACAACCTTAATTAAAACCCTACCAGATTTTTTGTAGAAACTGGCAAGCTGATTCCCAAATTTACATGGAAATGCAAAAAACTAAGAGCCATTGGGATCTTGGTAAATACTACTGGAGAACTTAGTTTGTTGGACCTCAAGACTAATCCTAAATCGGGGCACCTGGGTGGGTCAGTCAGTTAAGCATCCGACTTCGTCTCAGGTCATGATCTCACAGTTCATGACTCTGAGCCCTGTGTTGGGCTCTGTGCTGACAACTTAGAGCCCAGAGCCTGCTTTGGATTCTGTGTCTCCCTCTCTTTCTGCCCCTGCCCTGTTTGTACTCTCTCTCTCTCTTTCAAAAATAAATAAACATTAAAAAAAATTAAAAAGACTAATCCTAAATCAGTAGGGCTTACCAGGACTAAAGACAGTGGAGTCAATTTGAGCATAAACAAATAGACCAATGGACCCAGGACAGGGAAAGCACACGTGGGTATGAAACACACGATGTCTGAGAGGACAGCGCTGGGAACCTGTGAGTAAGGCAGCTTGCTACATCACACAAAAATAAATCCCAAGTGAATTGTATATCCAAATATAAAAAGCAGACCAATCAAAACTATAGAAGATACCATAAATCAATATCCTCAGACCTTGAGTTAGGTAAATGTTCTTTTTTTTTTTTTTAAATGTTTTATTCATTTCTAGGAGAGAGAGAGAGAGAGACAGCGTGAGCAGGGGAGGGTCAGAGAGAGAGGGAGTCACAGACTGAAACAGGCTCTAGGCTCTGAGCTGGCAGTCAGCACAGAGCCCGACGCGGGGCTCGAACCCACGAACCGCGAGATCATGACCTAAGCGAAAGTCGGACGCTTAACCGACTAAGCCACCTAGGTGCCCCATAGTTAGGTAAATGTTCTTAAACAGGACGCAAAATGTATCAACCATAAAGGAAAAGATTGATAAACGGGACAAAAGTAAAATTAAGAATCTGTTTATGAGAGATGCCATTAAACAAGTAAAAAAGTCAAGACACAGAGGGATAGAAGATATTTCCAACAAATAGAACCAAAGAAAACCCTATCCAGAGTAACAAACACCTACAAAAAAAAAAAAAAAAGACACACAAACCAATTTTTTAAATGGGCAAAAGACATGAACAGGGGTTTAATGAAAGAAGATACATAACTAGTCCATACATATGTGAATATTGTCCAGCTTTATTAGTCACTGGGAAAATAACCCATTAAAACTACTGTATGCTATTACTTCACATTTACCAGAATGCCTAAAATTAAGGCCTGGGGCAACATGTGTTGGCAAAGATGTGAAGCAGTTGGAATGTTCACATGTTGCTGATGAGGTAAAAACTGGTGCCTTGACTTTGGAAAACTGGCTGATGTTACCTCTGCTACACTTGGCTCTGCAGTTCCATTCCTCTCTATGTTTATATTCAACACAGCTGTGGACATACAGTAACCAAAACCCATAGCCAGAATGTTCGCAGCAGCACTGTTCATCATAGCCATATGATGGGACCCGCTAATGCCCATCAAGAATAAGATATAATTGTCTTCCATTGCAACGATTGAATACAGGAGTACATGTAAATGAAATGCTGCTTCACACGGTATAGATGAACATAAGCCATAATGTTGAACAAAAGCCACACACAAAGAGTGCCCATCCTATTCCATTGATACAATGTTCGAAAATTGGGAAAAAAGGCCTTGATGGTGGAGGTCAGGGTGCTGGTTACCTGATGGACGAGGGGCAGGGGGCTGGGGCAAATCTCGAGTGTTTCATCGGGTAGGAGCACCCAAGTGTGTTCACTTTATGGGACTGAACAAACCATGTTCTTATGATCTTGTATTGTCCTGTGTGTAATATTTTGACCTTTTAAAATTAGTTTTAAAATCCACAATCCTACTCTGGTGTCTCCTCCCTGACATCATTATGCCCAGATAACTGTGATGGAGATGTTGCACGCTCCTAAACTACTGAGTTACACATTTGTAGGCATTTTCTTAGTTTACCTTCCTATGTGGTATTTTACATACCCTGGATTTAGATTTCATGAGTTTAAATCTCAGGAGGAATCTTATTTCCAAGCTTGTGTGAAGTGCCTTCAGCTCCCATATGGACAACAGTGATTTTGTAAGGGATTTAGATTAAGACATTGATAAAACTGAGTTTATTATGAATCGTCATTTTAGAAAATACAGTCAATGCAGACCATTTATTATTAGGACTTTCTCCAGCTGAAAATGTGTTAAAAATGTTAAAATTAAATGAAGGGATTACATTGGTGATATTTCTTCTCATTTTTCAGTTAAATGCCCTGCAAGACCTTCATCCATTACCCAAGATAATTTTGGAGTATAGACGGGTAAGTTAAACTTTGTGCGGAAGTGAGCTGCTGATGGAGGGGACAGAGGGCCCCATGTCTGATGAGAGAAACACGGTTACGGAAGTGGCCCTGGCAGAGCTCTGCAGGGAAGGGGGCTAGTTCGAGCCCGCCTGTGCCCACACGGCCGTGCCCCCGCCCATGGCCAGCCTCCTGGCAGAGGACCGTGCGGACGGGAAGAAGACGTGTGTTGTCCTTGGGGGCTTTGCAGTGGACTGGACTCTGCTAGCATGGGGTGCAGGAGGCTGTCTCCAGGACCTGGCGGGGTTCACAGCAGTCTGAGCACCTCAGCCACCTCGTTCACTGACACACGCCCTTCCTCCTCAGCTACCCATGTGTCCCCTGCCCTGTGTTCCCTGGTGTGCGTGACCCGCAGCGTAACTTTGGCCACCGCAGTCTGTCGTTCGCTGAGCCTGTGGCCTGCTGCCCTCCTGTGGGGTGGCAGCTTAGAGGCGTGGTCACGGCACCAAATGACCCTTTCTCCTCAGAGGGACGAAACTATTGGAAGAGAAATGAGGACACCATAAGGGAATTGGGCGGGTGGGTACTCAGAACGCTCCATTTATGTCTGTGACATTTCTGTGGAAAGAATGATTCCAGAAAAGGTGTAGGATGGTGTCTTTCTCTGTGGGTCACTGCTCCTTAATTCTGGCACCACGTCAGGCTGCCGCAGGGCTCCTGGAGTCACTGGTGTGGACACACGAGCGGCACACGCCCAGCACCCTGGGAAACACCGCTCTGACGCTCGGTACTGTTCAGGTGCTTCAGCGAGAACATGATTCCTTTTGTCTTTTGGGACCCAGGTTCACAAGACCAAGTCAGCCTTCGTGGACGGACTGCTAGCGTGCGTGGAAGAGGTAACTGGCGCTAAAAGAGATACTGTGATTAGGAACACGGTTTCCACATGGGTCAGGGCACACGTAGACTTTCCTGAAGTTGTAGTTAGTGCTAAATAACCAAATATTCCTGAACTGTGAACCATGATATTGTTATCACTCAGGTCTCTCTACAGCCCCACTGACATGCCTCAGGTCATGAGCTGCATTTACGTGGAAGCTCTAAGGCTGACCGCGCAGCGCACACCGTTCGTCTCTCCTGCGCTCACTTCAGGGAGACGCTGTGGTTCTTGCTCACCCGGGGGGAGCCTGCAGGCAGAGGTGCCTGTGAGGGTCCCAGGCTGCTCAGCAAGTGTCAGCCCCCGTCTGGGCTGCACAGCCCACCTTGACCCATGCTGCCTCCCCGTGCACACGGCCCTCCTCTCCAGGTGCCCGGGGCCCGCCTTCCCCCGTGCACCCGGCCCTCCTCTCCCCGTGCACACGGCCCTCCTCCCCCCCCACCCGCCATGCACAGGGACCTCCTCCCCCCGTGCACACGGCCCTCCTCCCCCCACCCCGTGCACACGGCCCTCCTCCCCCGTGCACAGGGTTTTCAGGGACGTAGAGACCCTCCTGTCCTGTTGCAGTTCTGCAAGGGTTAGGGGGAGCCCCCTGTTGGTGAGCAGTTTGCTGACCTCCAGGGACGCTCCAGGTCGGGGGTCTGGGGCCGGGGGCCTGAGGACTTCTGGACGCGCAGTGCTGTCGTGTGCTGTAGGCAGACAGGCTGCGGGGTCAGCCTCAACCTCAGTGGTGTTGTCAGAGCTGAAACTGATGCTTCCTCACTGATAAAGGGCTCCATCTCCTGTACGTGGAATCAGACTGGAACGGTGACCGGAAGACTTTCAGCGAGGCACCCGGTAAGTTCGCTCTCCTTAGACGCCAGTCCCGGCCTGGAGCTGCGTTTGTGCCCATGTGTGTGTTCGCCTGTGCCTTTCCCTTTCTGAGAGGGGATCCCATGTTGATAGAGGTGTTTTACTCGCTTTACTCACTCAGCTGAAACTTCGCATCTGCTGTGTTTGGGGAACACATGGTCCCCACTGTCACGAAGGGTTGAGCCAGTGAGGGGTCCTTTCCATCCAGAGAGTCATGTGTGCCAGTACTGAGGGCAAAAGGGGGGTTCCCACCCCCCTTCCTTCCTTTATACAGGACGGTGGCTTCTCATGTCCAGAAATGCGTTGAAAGATCTGATGCTCTGATGACCTCCTCCATTTCTTTGTTGTTGTTCAAGACTATCTCTGATGAAAACTATAAATACCCTTGAGTTTATGATGGAGCTTTAATAACACTCAAAGCAATTAGCTTTTTAAATGGCTTTATGTTTTTTAATTAAAGATGACTTATTACTAATTTTTCATTGCAGAAGAGTTCCTCAAGTATAGAAATGTTAAAAAAATTAAAAAAAAAAAACTAATAAAAGTCACCTGCCACCCCACCTTACAGAATGAATGGTGGTTAACAATTTGGTGTCTATTCTTACTGACTTTTTGCTAAGTATACATGTTGATAAAATACTGTTTTTCTACCAAAATAAAACCACACTGTTCTTTTATACTTTTTAATTTTATTTATGATGTCTTAATATCATATACTAACACTGACCTGAATCTATATTTAGATTTAAACATTTGAATTATTTAGATATATGAATTAAATACATTAATCATATAAATGTGCATTATAAAATCTATATACATAGGAGTGTATGTTCATGATAAAGGAATTCAAATAGTGTGGACATTACAGCACTTCCCTTTCCCTTTGCGACAAATCTGTCTGTCCCTTGGGTCCTGGGCCCTGGCCTTCACGTGTGTGTGTGTATGTGTGTGTGTGTGTGTACGCATGCGTGCGCACACGTGCACACACAGCGCTCACGGCGGCTGGCCATGCTGGGCTGGGGGGGCTCACACCCCACAGGAGCTGCGGCCCCGCTCAGGGCCCTACGCTCTCTGGGCTTCACGCCCCCCAGGGCACGAAGTTGTTTTATGGTCCCATCAGACAACAGGTGAAATGTTTGGTCTCTTACGTCCTTGTCACCACAAGGAGTGTTCATTATGGTTACTATTTCCTGACTTGATTTTTGAATTCCTAGTCCTTTAACATATAAGTGAGGCCTGATGATATAAAACAATTATTCTTCTCTGAATTGTCTGTTCACACCATTTGCCCATGTGTCTGGAGGTTGTATGTTTTCCTAGAGGTATAGAGATTTTCTTTATCAGGTAAAAATCAAACCTTTATAAAATGCTGAATTATTTTTCTCCAATTTCTTTTGCCCTTTAATATTTTAAATATACATTATTTGCCATACTTAAAATGACTTTTTAGTGTGCAAACAATATATGATAATTCTAAAGGATTCAAACAGATAAAAATACAAATAACAAAGTAAACGTCACCCAAAACATCACAGCCCCGCCAGTCACCATTAACGTTTGGTATTTCTCTCTTCCTGCACACGGGCCCACATATCTACATGTATGGGGCTGCATCACATGGCTGTTTTGTCTTAGACACGCCCTCACCATGCCCAAGCCCAGCACCACCTCCACCCTCATGCCCATGGCCGCCTGTGCTAGCAACCTAGCTGATGCACATCCATATTTCCCTCTAGACTTCTAGTAAAATCTCGTATAGACTCGCGTGTAACTATACACATATATGCAGAAGCACACGGTGACTCTATCATTACTTATTTTACAGAATTAGGATTTCCTTTTTTCTACCTCTTGATTTTCTCCCAGCTATAGCTGGTAGAAACCCTGCAGACCATCTGACAAAGTCCTGTTTCACTCTTGTTAGTGTGTGTCCTGCACTGCTGTGCTGGTGACATGCGCCTCATGCCCAGTTCTTGCCTTCTAGAAGTAAAACTGCAGTAAGCATCATACACACACATCCTGGCATTTATATTTCTGTGGGTAGATCATCAGGTATGGGATTACTGGGTCAAATGATACTACGTTTTTACCTTTTTTAATGTTTATTTATTTATTCTAAGAGAGAGACAGAGAGGAGGGGAAAGGGACAGAGAGAGGGAGACAAGAGAATCCCAAGCAGGCTCCACACTGTCAGTGCAGAGCCTGACGTGGGGCTTGATCCCACGACCATGTTATCATGACCTGAACTGGAATTGAGAGTCAGATGCTTAACTGACTGAGCCATCCAGACACCGTTTTTACTTTTAAGAGCTATTACTAGGTTGCCTTTCTCTCAACATTGTCATGAACAGGGGGTGGCGGTACTTTCTCCACTAGGTACGGCGACTCTTCTCTCTACTGAAAAGTGTCATTTTAGAAGGGCTTTCCTCAGCTGCATGGTTATTTAAAGACTCACCTCTGTTTTCTTATGGAACCTCTTTTTTTTTTTTTTTTAATAATGTTTTTATTTCTAGGAGAGAGAGAGAGAGAGACAGCGTGAGCAGGGGAGGGNCTGAAATCTTATTATGAGGGTAGAAATCTAATGGCTGTTTGATGATCAGATTTGTCGTGAAATCTCTTCTGAAATATATATATATATTTTAATGTTTTTTATTTATTTCTGAGAGAGAGAGAGAGACAGCGTGAGCAGGGGAGGATTAGAGAGAGAGGGAGTCACAGAATGAAACAGGCTCCAGGCTCTGAGCTGGCAGTCAGCACAGAGCCCGACGCGGGGCTCAAACCCACGAACCGCGAGATCATGACCCAAGCGAAAGTCGGATGCTTAACCGACTAAGCCACCCAGGCGCCCCTCTTATGGAACCTCTTTGCTATCCTTTTTCCCACATGTGGATCTGAACCCAGCTGCAGCTCCATGATGGTGCCACAAAGCAGTGAGAGCTTGAATTAGTCTTTGGTTTATTTCTTTTTAATTTTTTATGTTTTATTTATTTCTGGGAGAGAGAGACAGCACGAACAGGGGAGGGTCAGAGAGAGAGGGAGATACAGAATCTGAAACAGGCTCCAGGCCCTGAGCTGGCCATCAGCATAGAGCCCGATGCGGGGCTCAAACCCACGAACCATGAGATCATGACCTGAGCCGAAGTTGGACACTTAACCGACTGAGCCACCCAGGTGTCCCTAGTCTTTGGTTTAAAGTGCACAGAGTACACTTAATATTTTTTTAAAAGTCAGATTTGGGTGCCCGACTGGCTCAGTCGGTGGAGCATGTGACTCTTGATCTCAGGGATGTGACTTCGAGCCCCACTTTGGGTGTAGAGATTACATAAAAATAAAACTTTAAAAAAAGTAAGAGTAATAAAATCAGATTATAACTGTTTTTCACCACTTCTAGAGAGCCAGTTTCTCACTCACACACTCCCTCCTGTAAGAGAGTCATTGTTACTAACTGACTATTGAAATGCCTCACCACCCATTTTGTGTTCTGCTTCATGTTATCTCAGATGATAGGAAAATCTAGAGTGTTTTTGTCTTTCCCATGTCTCGACATTTTGGTGAAGCATTAACAGGTTATGGTTTATTTAAGAACTGTTTGAGAGTAGTTGATTGAATTGATTACCTTCAGTCTCAGTAATATATATGATAAATGTGTTAGAACAGTTTTGTAATAGCTGCTTTAAAGTCCCTGTCAGGTAATGCCAACATCTGCATCATCTTGTTATTGGTGTGTTTTGATGGTCTTTTCACACGTGATTTGAGATTTTCCTGCTTCTTCATGTCCAGTAATTTTGGGTTGTATCCCAGACATTTTAAAGGCTGTCTGATGAGTCTTGGTCTTGTTTAGAAACCCCATTGCAAGATTCGTATTTTTGTTTAGTAGGCATTCACCCTGGGCAGATTCAGGTTGAAAGTTGTGAACTGCTTTCCATGAGCTGTGATTTCAGTGGGTGTTCAGTTTCTAAGACCTTTGCAGTGCTATTCACACAGTCCCAATAATGGCCATCCAGGGGTCAGTCTGGGGATTGAGCCATGGTTTATCTGCTGGTTCAGTTCTCAGAGTCTCTGATATACTGTTGAGGATGATACCTACAGGTGTGCAGCTTGAGGCTGAACCCAGTGGTTTATAAGTGATGCTATGGGATCCTTTTCCCAGGCTCCTCCTTCTCCACAGTCTCCCTGGTTAATTTCTGGCTCTTTGGCATTCTCCTCAGCCAGGATTGGAGGCTGTTATAATCTTGGTCTGCTGCTCACTTCATGCCACTGGCCCTATGTCTGGGACCAAGAGGAAGAAGTGGTGAGTTTACTGCCTGTTGGGTAGGGCTTCAAATTCTGATCTGCTTCTCCAGTCTGGCTGCAGCTATTAATTTATCACATCTCCAAATTGCCGCCCTATGCACCCTGCCCCGTTCTACAGCTGTGTTCAGCAGCGGTGTGCTTATGCTATCTTACCGGGATTGGAACTCCATCCTTTCACAGCTTTACTTCGGTATAATTGGCATACTACAAATTTCACATATTACAAACAATTTGATAATTGTTGATGTGTATATATGACCGTGAAAGCACCATCACGATCAACACATCTGATGACTGTTTCCGTGGCCCCTAAAAACACCCCCATGTCCTTTTGTAATTTCTCCTCCTTCCACCCCGACATCCACGTCCTCAGGCAACTGCTGGCTTGCTCTCTGTTCCTATAGATTAGTTTGCATTTTCTGGACATTTATATAAGTGGAATCACATGGTCTATATTTCTTTTGGTCACTCTGCATTATTTTGAGATAAGCCATGTTGTTCTGTATTTCAGCAGCTCATTCCTTTATATTGCTGAGTAGTATTTCATTAATCTGTGCACCAGTTCATTTGTACTTTCACCTATTGATCAATATTTGAGCTGTTTCCGGTTTTAAGATCTTCCCTAGTTTGGGTCATTACTATGCACACTCAAGTACAGACCTTGTGTGGACATACAGTTTCTTTTCTCT